GACAATAACATTTCATATATTTTTTTCATGTGCATATTTTTTTTATTTCAATATTATAAAAGTATTTTTTTAATTGCAGAAATGTTCCTTTGCATCAATATTATTATTATCATTATTTTTTTATTACTATTTTTATTAAGATTAAAATTCTGATGTGACAGAAATATACTTGTCAGTAAAAGTGATACTGTACATGAGTGTAAAGTTGGACTGAAAACGGCATCATTATTTTTAGAATATTCTAATTAGATTTCATATCCATTGTTCATAATCAAATAAATACTTTAGAAAGCATATAGTTTTTAATTTATTTTACATGGCTACATTTTTTTCAGGTAAACAGGCATTTTACCTAATTGATGAAAGTCAGTGTACTGAGAAAGAAGCTATGTAACACCGCACTTTGAGGTCAAACGCACTTTGGGGTCAAACGCACGTTGGGGTTCAATTGCGAACCCAAAGTGGGTTACACAGGTACATATGCATTTTTAACATCAGGCAAACGACCGCACTTTGGGGTCATAGAAAATTAATGTCCATTATGTTTTAAATAATAGATTGTAGTCAAAGCCAATAGTAAACAAAAAATCAACGTATTAAATAGATACAAACATGTGCCCTGAATTATAGTAGAATCAATAGGGATTTAAAAGGTCTTGATTTGTAAGTGAAGAACTTTCACCAAATTAATCACCAAATAAAGAATTTGTATCAATTATTAAGCTTAAAATATTTTTTTCTCAAATTTTCCATTTATTTTAAAAGAATGTACACCTTTCGTTAACTCCATTGTTTTTAGCTAAATGCATTATTGTCCGTTTTTTATTTACACATTTTTAAGAATATGATAGTCTTAGCATAAACAAAGGTATAAATTCTGGGAAATCTTAGTAAGACATTTCAGTAAAAAATGTGCCTGATAATATGTTGAAAGAGCCACATATTTAGCTAAATGTGTCATATAAGAAACTTGACTAGGTGTAGATGCGGATTTAAGTAGTAGACCGTACAGGCAGTACTTAAAATATAAACTATTTAAGTAGTCGCACATTAAGAGCGGAGCTTCAGAATAATGTAAAATTCTCACTGGGGGTATAGAAGGGATTGTGGGGTATCGATCTCCAGGGGGTTAAAAATAACGTTTTAAAGGCCCATTATTCTTTCATTTGATTTTCTTAAAAGCTTTTTCATTTTGATGTTCTTCTTTATTATCAAAAACAATACACATATGCCAATTACCTAAAGCATCTTTTTCATCTGTTGCTTTTTTGCAATGATGAGTACAGTTATAGTGAATTAGTATTTTATATGGAAGTCAAATCCTACAGTGTTTTGACTTCTTTTATGACGAATAATTTCACAGTTATCGCTACTTTATCCAGATAACAAGCATCTTACATTTCTCTCATACCATTTTTTTAACATTATAAAATCCATGTTTGCTCTTTCTAAAGAAGTATGTAAGATTTCCCATAAAAAAAGACTCTGGCGAACGGTTGTTACGGAGCTTACAAAAACCCTTAAGTTTGTAAATAAGATAAATAATAATTTTGTAAATTTCACTATTTATAGTCCGATCGAAAAACTTGATTTTTCACTAGAACATTGCAATAGAGTATATTTATAGTTCTTTGGAAAAAAATATTAATTGCATTTTATTTCATTCCCAACATATTTAAAATGGGGCTCAATATGGCACCGAAAGTTATCAAGTAAATGACCGATAGAACGGGATATTTTTCGCAGCATCTTTTAATTCTAGGAATACACAATTTCTGTACTTAAGTATTTTGAACGGTGGCATAAAAGTGACATTTGTATTTTTTTTTATACTTTAATATTGTTTTTCGTACATATTTTTTGTTTGTTTGTCGTACATATTTTTTTTAGTTTTAAAAACATACTTTTTTTTAGTATTGCATACATATTCTTTTTTAGTTTGCATTCATATTATATTTTAGTTTTGTATACATATTCTTATTCTTTTTTAGTTTGCATACATATTTTATTTTAATTTTTTTTGTACATATTTTATTTTTTTTTTTTTCGACATTTTTTTACATGACGCCATTTGCAAAGTAGACGCTTGGATAATTACACCATTTGTTAAACACCATTTCCAAACACTTCGCCATCTGTAAATTACAGTACCCTATTGGCAAATGCCATTTACAAATACCAACATTTTCATTTTTGGAGGTATCAAAAAATTAAATTACACTTTTTAGTATTCGCAGTAACCCAAAGAAAGGTTCCGCATATGGTCTCGATATGGTTAACATTTGTAACAAGGTGCCTTAAAATCCTTCATGGTGTTTCGAAGATAAGAAGCAGACATGAAACCCAAGTTTTTATCCTTTGACCTGCAGGTGTGACCCCGACCTTGAGCCGGCACACCTGGCATATAAGTTCTGCACATTATCTGGATGTGCTAAGGAATTGACCTAAGTTTCATAATTTTCAATTCTCAGGGGGTAGGGTTGAGTGGTGCATATTCATGGAATAATAACTGATCACCAATCAACAGCCCTTTCCAAATAGACACTAATATAACAGTATATAATAATACAAAAAATTATAATATAAAATTTATATAATATAAAACATGGGCCGAAAAGGGTCGGCCGAAACCAGACTTGCGAAGCCGAAAACGACTGGGCCGATTCCAAACATGGGCCGAAATGTGACCAAACCACTGTGCTAGTTTTATACTCAACCATTGGCTGTTATGAGATTTGAAGGCTGTTTTAATTGGCTAAAATATATATGAAAAAAATGTACGAAAACAATAAAAATAAAATATGAATGCAAAACTGAAAAAAATATGTATGCAAAACTAAAATAAATATGTATACAAAACTAAAAACAACAAAATGCAAATGTCACTTTTATGCCACTCTAAGTTTGTTCTATGAACACAATTTTTAGATATTTCAAGTGGTAAAATTAATGAAACTTAAAATGTACAGACTCAATCAAACCGAGTCTGCGGTTCTCTTCTATTTTTTGTTGTGATTAATGCTTCCGGGGGATCGCTTTGTTTTCAAATTTTTATACTTCACAACAGCAGGTGTCAAGTGCTCTGTGGCAGCTGTAAAACGTTTCCCCGTACTTCACTTCAGTGTTGTTATATTTTTCTGGTCCTTTGGGATCATTGATGCCAGCACTATTAGGTGTTGAGAATTGAGTACCGCTCAAGCCGGTGCTATGGGGCGTGAGGGGTGTTGCACGTATTCATTATCCCTCATGTACAGACTCAATCAAACCGAGTCTGCGGTTCTCTTCTAATTTTTGTTGTGATTAATGCTTCCGGGGGATCGCTTTGTTTCCAGATTTTTATACTTCACAACAGCAGGTGTCAAGTGCTCTGTGGCAGCTGTAAAAAGTTGCCCCGTACTTCACATCAGTGTTGTTATATTTTTCTGGTCCTTCGGGATCATTGATGCCAGCACTATTAGGTGTTGAGAATTGAGTACCGCTAATGCCGGTGCTAGGTGTCGTGAGGGGTGTTGAACGTATTCATTATCCCTCATGTACAGACTCAATCAAACCGAGCCTGCGGTTCTCTTCTAATTTTTGTTGTGATTTATGCTTCCGGGGATCGCTTTGTTTCCAGATTTTTATCACTTAAGCTTCATAAAGTATTGACCGCCATCTTGCGCTCCAACTCAAATATTCAAATGTCGCAGATAGAAAATAAGTCAGTACTTAGTATTTAAGCAGAACTCAGATGACACCTTTAGACCTCTTGAGCCCAAAGTGCGTTGATATGTAGCATATTAACGCACTTTGGGGTCAATTTCTCGATTTTGACCCAAAGTGCGTTGGACCCCAAAGTGCGGTGCGAAGTTTAACGCACTTTGGGGTCGGACCCCAAAGTGCGTTTGACCCCAAAGTGCGGTGTCACGGAGCTGAGAGTGTTGTGTCAATGGCACACTACTACTTAAAATATTACTAATCATTATTTTCCTGTGAAAACTGGGATGTTGATTGTTGCATACTTGTATAAACAAACATTATCATTTTTCATTTTTGCGTAAATGAAAGTATATATTATTAATTGACTTCACTGTAGACCAAAGTTCTTATATTCTTAAGTCACATCTAGACCTACCTTGTGTCAAATGATTGTGTTGAAAAACAACAACACTTATTGCAAGAATGTTTTAAGTCAGTTTAGAAAAGAATATTTACTGAAACTTAACCAGTTTTTTTTAAAATTCTAATTCAGATACATTTTGATAATGCAACCGGACAAAATAAACATAATGTTGTGGTTTGGTATGCAATAAGGCGAACATTGATAGGTTAGTAAAAGTTTTGAGTATTTATAATTTGTTGCCTGATACATTATCATAGCTTTTTAGCATCTTGTTGACAAAAACATCATCCTCATTGTTATAACCTGAAGCTAAAAAATTAATTAAAAAAAAAAAAAAAAAAAAAAAAAAAAAAAAAAGGGGGTAGGGTTTATATGGTTAGAAAGCCTTAACTAAATTTGCAATGATTTATATGCATTTTTCACTGATTTTTAATATTTCATGTAATGATAACATAACATTGTCTGTAAAGCAATGTATAATTTCAGATATAGAAGCACGTCAGCGAAAGCAATGATTTATTCCATTTCTGGTTTTTGTTTGATGGCTGGACGCTGGCGTTTTCAAAAGTAGTATAATCATATTTCTTTCTGACTTAGTTTCAAGTCAATCAGACTCAAGCAAGCTTACATGGCAGCTGGGAATGCACTGGCGGAGGAAGACTGCGGCTGTCCTTTCGTGCAGTATTTTAAACACATACGTTGCGCTGCAAGTAGTACAGCTTTTGTGCAGTTTAGCTTGGCTCTGTACTGTATTATGGCAAATGTGAATCATCGTTGGTTATAGCAGGTGAAGAGTTAAAAAAAAACCAAGAAAATGCTGAACGAAGTTAATAACGTGTACAACCTGGTCACAGAGATATAACCATATACATGCACGGACCAGGGTTCACGTGTAACGTAGAATTACTATCTGTCACTCCACGAGTAATGTCTCTACTGGTAAAATAGATAAAAAACAGTTCTTCGTGTTGTTTTGGCGTCATACCAAAAGTAAATAAAATGACAGTGCCGCAGGTACATATTCTTGCTTTTGCAAACTGGGTAATAGAATTAATCCGACATTTTATCCACTAACCTTCCCAGTAAGATGATCTCGTGGCGCTCCTATAGCAAACGTAGTTAAACCCATGCCAAAATATTGTCCACTTGTTATTGCATATCCTGTAAAAACAAAGCAAAATTGATTGTACTAGGCTAACCATAGACATAATATTATGTGATATATGACCGGTTCTTAACAAATATCACCACCCAAATTGTTTTATGGGGATTTAAATATGATTGACATTACTAATAATATCAAAATGATAAAGTTATTTGTCTTCTTACTGTCAAAAGTTGTGTTCGTGCACACAACCATAAACCATAAAATTGGATAAAAGGATTGTCTTAAACCATTTCATTTGTGAATATGTGTAAGCGTAAAGGTTGATGTTTTGCCATTTTTTTTAAAAAATGATAATGAAAATATTTTTTTATCTTTAATTAGTAAAGTTTGAAAATTAAGTCATAAATCCAGAATTATTACTAATATAACAGACAAGAATAGCTCAAACTATGCCCTAGGATGTGCAAACTGGCTGGGCAAAGGCAAATCACAGTGATAGTGGTGTTGGTAGTTTTCACGGCAGTAAGCCACACTGAATTTAACAGAGCACAGTTCAGGGCACAGGTACAGTGCAATGACCGTAGAAAATATTTCATTACAATCACAACGAAAGTGACCTGCACCGTCCGGGAATCGAACCCGGGTAGCCCGATTCACAGTCCAACGCTCTACCGAATCACTTAGTTTACATCAATAGCAACTTTTAGATCCTTCCCATAGATAATAGCCGTATGTTCGACAGGCGCGAAGCTATTTGTGTTTACTATTTTTTTGTCCATTGACCCAATTTTTATCAATTAATCCCTTCGATTTACATCTAAAAATAAATTGCAAAGCACGATATCCTTTCGATTTCTATTATGTAAAGTCATATATTGGTCTCATGTCATATTTAATTTAATGAATGAGAACGGGAACAAAGCTATAAATAGATATGACCTTAACATTGAGAAAGTCCGAAAATCTATTTATAGAAGTGGTTTAATTAACCAACGATCTGGAGAGTTTTGTAGAATGAAATGCAAACATATTCAGCCATAAACTGCACCCTTTATAACTTATCGAAAAAAATAAAGTGAATTAATTGATATGGGTTTATTGATAGGAATGTAAATACACTGGTGGGTCAATCAATTCAACAAAATAGTAGATTTATCTCCCAAAAAATCAATTAACAATAGCTCTTTATTTATAACCGGTGTCAAGTTGTTTTTATATCTTTGACTCGCACGAATATTATGTTAGTGAATTTCCTTATACCTTATGATACCTGTCTAAAATACAGATAACAGTCTTTCATTGATAAATAATGTTTTAATATATCAACATGCCATGCAACTTTATTTTATGATTTTAAATGTACCGTTATTTTTGTTACTGCGTATAACAAGCAAATCCTGAATTTGTTTTTTTTAGAAATTCATCCCAAATGTTTCATTCCAGTTTGTGTTCTTCTTTCAGTATTTATCTGAGACTTAAAATATAGCTACTGTATCTTAAGTCCGAGGTATCAAAAGAAACCATTTTTCTTAATTTGATAGAAAAAAAATGCCTGTTATATTACAATATTAGTCTCTTTTGTTTTTATTTTTATATGCTGTTTGTATGTTTGTTACAATTAATAATAATAAAAAAGACTGTTTAATTTGACTGCTGTTTTGTATGCTCCAAAGAAAATACTTTTAATATTTTTATTTTTTGCAAGCCGACCAAAGTTCATGATGCACAATGTCTTTCGTCCGCACATTCATCTATGATATACATGTACAATTCTGGTAAAATCCAATTAATCATTAAATAGTTAAAAAGAATATCTGGTCATCAGATGTCTATTAGTTCATCGTCACTTGCTTGGACACCATTTGATGCTTTGCATCAATGCCTTTCTTGTTTAACATGATATACCATTTGGCGCGAAACATTTAATGGACATTTTGAAAATAAAGTCGATTTGGCTTATTTACATGTGGATTTTAATATTTCCTACAATGATTAGTTGTTGATTATTTGTAGTAAGTGAGTAGCATTAAAGGTACATGTTTTGATATTTTAATCATCTAATATTAGATCTACTGACTAAAGAAATGACACAAACAGAACAGTGTTGCACTACTGTCATGTCACATTACATTTACAAGTCTTGTAACTCTTGTTTGTATTGGAATTACTTTCCTTACCAGGTAGGCATCAGTTTTTAAGCATTTTTTTTACATTTAATATCTGGCCTGGCCCCTCTGAAAATGACTTTTTGAGCCAACGTTCTTTAAAACCTAGTTTATGGTTCCGTTTTCTTGATGATATATTTTGTATATGGAGTTATTCCCTTGATGATTTGAATGCTTTCATTGATAGTTTGAATAACTTTCATCCATCTATAAAATTTACAGCGAAAGTTTCTAAATCTCTCGTATCATTTTTGGATGTAAACGTTTCATTAGACGAAAACAATATTATTCACACTGATATACATGTTAAAGAGACAGATAATCATCAGTATTTAGAATACTCTTCCTGTCACCCAGTATCTTGTAAAAATGGTATTCCGTACAGTCAAGGAAAACGTTATCGCCGTATCATTTCCGACGATAATGTTTTCAACGATTCTTTACAGAATTTACGTACATACTTCAAAGCAAGAAATTATCCTATCAATGTTATTGATAATGCACTAAGTAAGGTTTCATGTCTAACACAGGATGAGGCCCTGTGTACTAACAACAAAACAAGTGATGGCAGTGTTATTCCCTTTGTTGTTGAGTATAGCCCAACTTTACCTAATATTAGTAATATAATTAAAAGGTATTGGGATTTACTTAAACTTTCAAGTAAATGTTCTGTGAAAAAGCTTCATGAAAGTAAACCTTTGGTTGCATTTAAAAGACCTAAAAATCTAAAAGACATTCTCGTTAATTCTAATATTAGGTCTAATAACAAAAATGCGAAAAGTTCATCCAAATGTAATAGAAGTAGATGTACACATTGCAGCTCCATTATTGAAAGCAATATATTTAGTAGTACTAATATTCCTGGTAAGAATTATCATGTAAATAACAATACTGATTGTTCTACGAAAAATGTTATATATCTTGTCACTTGTGATAAATGTAAAGAGCAATATGTTGGTCAAACGAAGCAACAAGTGTCTAAACGCATGAATAGCCATAGGTTTGATATCAACAATTTTTCCGATCCGTTATTTTCGACCAATGTCGCTACACACTTTAATAAAACCAATCATTGTATGAAGGATTTTAAATTTATGCCTATAGAGATTGTCACCGATGATATGGAACGCTTATTACAAGAATCATACTGGATTCATAAGCTTAACACATTATCTCCTAATGGTATGAATGCAAAAGTTTTGTACAATATATAACTTTGTCATTATTGTGCCGGTATACATATACATGTAGTATGTTTGTTCTCATATCAAGGTTTTTTATTATCATTAATTATGAGAATTTTTGTATCACATTTGCAGATCCATATTATATGTGTAATTTATTGTATATTGCTGTATTCATGAAAGATTCTGTATTTTTTTGACAAAGTTTTTATTCCCGCGTTAACGTCACGTTCGGTTTAGCGTATAGTTAAACGGACGTTGCGTCATTTGTCATTTGTTATTTTATAAACGTCAATTTTTCTGAAGAAGACTAAACGTCGAAAGCTTAAGAAAAGCGTTTGTTTTTATTGAACTGATTATATATACTTCAAAAAAGGGAGATTTTTTAATTGACAATAGACATGAAATGAAAAAGAGGCAGATTTCTTTATTTGTTTTTAAAACAACTCTTATTCTAAGAAAAAATATTTTAAACTTTGAAAGGAGAAAGAGGGAGTCTCCTGCTCAAATTCGGAGAGTTCAAATGTATGCATGTACTCATTTATGGAAAACATTCCAACATGAGTTATTTTCCTTTCATTATTAAACTACAATTTGAAGAAATGCCATAGCCTGGGTCATTTTAGCTTAAGCGACCCATAAAAGGGGCCAATACAAATTAATATGAACAAACTTGATAAAAGACCACCTAAGAATGCTACAGACAAAGTTTGGTGATCACCATCAATAATTTCAGAAAATGATGTTCAAAGGTTTTTCTTTTTTTAGCTTAAGCAGTCACTTAAAGGGGAAAATTAAAGAAATATGAGCAAACCTGATAAAAGACTACATAACAATGCTACAGACCAAATTTTGGGATCATCTATCAATAATTTCAGTAGGAAATGATGTTCAAAGTTTTTTTTTAAATATTTTTAGCTTAAGCGACCCATAAAAGGGGCCAATCACTTTAATATGAGCAAACTTGATATAAACTACCCAAGAATGCTACAGACAAGGTTTGGTGATCATCCATCGTTTAGTTCTGTAGACAAAAGTAGAAGACGTTTTACGGTTTTTCTATTTTAGCCCTAGAGACCCCTTAAAGGCGCCAATCAATTTAATATGAGCAAACATGATAAAAGACTACCCAAGAATGCTACAGACAAAGTTAAGTGATCATCGATCCATTAGTTCTGTAGAAGATGCTTAAAGGTTTTTAGGGACCCCTAAAAAGGGCCAATCACTTTAATATGAGCAAACTTGATAAAAGACTACCCAAGAATGCTACAAAAAAAGTTTGGTGATCATCAATCAATTAGTTCTGTAGTAGAAGATATTTAAAGGTTTTTCTATTTTTAGCTCTGTTGACCTCTAAAAGGGGCCAATTGAAATGACATGAGCAAATTCCAGTGTGACTGTCACAAGGATGCTACAGACTTAATTTGAAGTAAATCTGCCTAGCAGTTTCAGGGAAGAAGACGATTGTTGACGCATGACGACGGACGCCGGAGCATCCCCCTTTGATACTAATAGCTCACCATGAACCTTCGGTTTTGGTGAGCTAATAAATAAAGCTGGAACGACCTCAATACGGCACGAATATTTCAGTTCTTAAGGTATAATGAGTTAGATGATATCACTGGGACAATAAAACAGAAAGACAAAACTTATTGAAAATGCTTATAACAATTATCTTATTCCCTTATATATGTATGATCTGTGATGTACAGTAGTTCAAACGTACATCTATATATAACATGAACTAAAAATTAGAAAACGTGTACATCGTTTCATAAATAAAATGCACTTTTATGCAGTTCAAGACTAAAATTATCCGCTAAGATAATTTAATATTAAAGGGAATTGGACTGTAAAAGAAGATCTGTTATACCATAAATAACCATGTGGATAGCATACTCAACATCACTTATTCTGCGTCATTAGTAACTGCAATAATGCAATGTTACTTTAAAATGTGAACTTAATCTAATCTAAAACTCACCCGCCATTTCGTTCCTCTCCGTAGGTGGTTTTGAGTTCTCTGTGATCAATGCATCGGAACGGTGCATGTCTATCAAGCCCCCTGTAAAATACCACAAGCCCGGGGCTCCTAATAATATATGTTCTCTCTGTAAAAAATAGTGAGAGTATGTATAGAAGATAAAATCTTGCTGTTGTAAATGCCGTTGTTGTTCTTCTTTTTCTTCTTCATGTTTGGGTAAAAGTACCATCTTCACTATAAAAGTAAAATGGTGACTTAATTTGACCTTTATTTTTAACCCGTGCATAATTTAATGCACGAGAAGAGCGTAAACAAGCTTTATAGCTTAAACTATTCATTGTCTTTAGAGAGTACTATTCAGCAATAGATGACTCTAAATCAGGATAAGTATTCTACAGAAAAATGAAGAAAATGAGACCAATAGTTATTCATAAAAAATTGTACAAGAACAAAAGTGGCTAAAATAGCGGGGTTTTCCTGTATGAATACTGTAAAGTAGATAGCGTTGTAACTTGTAAGACAATGAAAGTTGCTACTGACTACAGCATAAATTCACTTCTGTCAGCTGAATTGAAGTCCAACCAGATTGAGGTTTTTATTGTTTTCTAAAATAGTAATTATGTCATACTTGTGTGTGTTACATTTGTACTCGTGTGTTACTCGTAGAAATAAAAAAAACCACTTTAGTGGCATATTGTTTTGAGATGTCAAATAAATTTAGAAAAAAAAACCCACAAAAAACAGTGTCTTGTTTTCTAAGCATTACCGAAAGAAGCTGCTAGCTACAGCAAACACACTTGTCGTAAATATTAAGGTATTTGATGAGAACTGAGATCGTAGACTATGTTTATAGAATATTGATTGCGAGGATATAAACACAAGCACAGAATTCGCTTATCCAGTCTATATAAATTAGCATTCTGCAAAAGGATAAAATACCTGGTTTTGATATTGAAACCATTGACTTATTAACAATGGAGCGTTTTTCATAAAAAAACTAGACAAGTTCATTTCTTATGACAGAGGGAAAAGATGTTGAACATGTTTTTTGCGTGATCTTACCTTACTTGAATAGTGGACGGATGAACCTAGAGCGCCCATGCCGTAATTGAGTTTTGTGATGTTTGTTCTGGGATCAGTCATTGTTTGCTTGTCAAGTCCAACAAGCCCGGGGATCTTCTTGATATTGTTTCTGTTGAAATCTAGAGGTATTTCATAGCACAGTCCATTCATGTAGTAAATCTGAGCTACTTCAAATTGTTTGTTATACCAGCGATTAGCACACGTCTGCAAAACATATTTAACGCCCTTAAATAAGTCTTTCATAGCATTTTAACGCATGTATGACAACAGAATATGGACGCTTTATATTATTCATATATAACGTTCTATAATATATAAATATAACAGTGTTGATAAAGGATTGGCAAAAGAACTTTCTGCATCATATTCAATCCGAACTCCGAGCAAAAACTAAGACATTGTGTCGGAATAGTAAATAAACTAAATAAATTGGCAATCTCTTCTTGATAAAACAAAGACGTATTTTTTAATGAAACAAGATATCTTTAATAAATGTAACTGTATCTTACAAAAGGAACATCTCTATTGCAATAAGAGGAGCAATAAATCAGTGTCAAGTCACCGCAGTTTGAAAAATATAAGCTACGGAAATCGAAGAAGTTTGGCGGGTTTGTACGAGCTATTGATGGTACATTAAGGCTCACATAGCTAGTCTAGCTGGCATGATTGGGCGTGTATATTTAACGCTTAATAAATAATCAGAATAAAACATTTTACCACAATGCCCGCGTCTTTATTTACATCCAGTGAAGCTCCCAGCCATTGACCGTCTCTTCCATGTGTAAATATTCTATTCTTGCCGTTGAACTGGGCCGAATCACCTTCGGTTTTATCTGAACATAATTCACACAGGTCATTTTTAATCTACATTAAATTAAAAATTCAGAAAAAGGGAGCAAGGAAACAAAGACTGATTTCAGTAGTACTAAAAGTACTTTGATTTTTTAAAAAGATATCAGCATTCTGTCTTTATATCATTTAATGGCTGACTGAATGGACAGACAGACGGACGGACGGACGGACAGACATGCCAATATGTAGGGTTTATTAACATGCTCTGTCATATATATATGTGTCATTTTCCAAATAAACGGACTTGGATGGAAAGATGAATAGATGGATAATAGATCGATGGATGAATGGACGAACGAACATACAGACGGACAACATTTGGGGTTAATGTACCTTTTCTTTGATTTATGTGGTACTTTTTCACATAAACCAGTTAAATAACCACATAAACCAGTTAAATAACCACATAAACCAGTTTGTTTATGGGATTATTTTCTTTTTTAACTAAGGTCATGGACGACATGAAACTCTTAGACGTGGATGTTTGCCCGGACGGACGGACAGCCGGATGGATGGGTTATGTAAGTTACGACGTCACTATTGCATTCACATAGTAACAGGAAATCATGCAAGTTATGTGAAAGGTCACTAGCGACCTTACATGAACCCTCCACCTCCTTAAGGCAGCATTTTAGTCACAATCGGGAATATTCCTTTAAAGATAGATAGATGGTTAATTTTACTTCCTCCAATATTTGAAGAACTGGACAAACAATAACAGCATGTACATGATGTAACAATATAAATGTTCGTGATTTTATATAGCATACTTGTGAGTGACTGTAGTGCTTTAAGAGAAAGAGTCCTAGACGAAACGAAATGCTAGAAACTTCTCTATATTAAATACAATACTTGTCTATTACTTGAAAAGTTAGACAAGTTATCTGAATATAAGTGACATAAAACTGTAATAATCAAATAAATTATTATATGTTTAGCCAACAGTAACTCGACATTACAATGTTTGTTTATATATATAATATAACATAGTATATGTAATTTAGATAAGACTAATTCATTAATTATCAGCCATTCCTTAATGCTGATCATTTATTGTTATTAAATGCTAAAGCATATAATGGATAACCATCTGAACTTTTAACAAATATTTATGTTTACGTTTATAATAAGTGTTTATGAAACAAGTTGTGGTTATAACAACGTTATTGGTTAAGTAAAGAAAATATTATAATTTAATAGCTGAAGAGAAAGATAATTTAAGTATATTCAGATCAAAACATACATAAAAAAGCGCAAAAAGCAAGAACAAACAAGTGATAATAACAAACATAGCGTCATTGTGTCCCTTATGCTACAACTTATCAATTTAACATTTGATCAATCAGACGCTAAGTAGAAAACATGATTTTCCAGCACTCGAGTAAGTTGAGTTTAAGCGCATGTCTATTTGAGTAGTTCTTGCTCGATTTATCCATTTAAAATGTTAGTTTAAGCCGGACATTTATTATATTGTTCCATACTGACTGTGTAACTGATTTGTTGACTTGGGCAAAAGTTCAATAAATGGTCGCTTACATCGTCACAAATATTTTCACACTTTTTACATAGTTGTGTAAACTGACGTGATTCTCTCTTTCCGGCAAGCATAATAGCTACGGTTTATGTGCTTTTTCTTTCATCTTTATGTGGTTGTTTCCCACATAAACCAGTAAAATTACCACATAAACCAGTTGGGTTATGGGATTTTTTTCTTTTTAACTAATGTTATGGCCGCAATGAAACTCTTAGACCATTGGATGTTTGCCCGGACGGACGGACAGCCGGATGGATGGGTTATTGTAAGTCACGACGTCACTATTACATTCACATAGTAACAGGAAAACATGCAAGTTATGCGAAAGCTCACTATAGCGACCTTACATGAACCCTCCACCTCTTTAGACGCAATCGGGCACATCCGTAAAACGACCGGCGACTTTCCGAAAACTAGCTGGCTTTACATAAAAACAATAGAACACTTCTATAGCGGGATTCGAACTCATACTGGGAATTAAACGTTTTTATACTTAATGTAATCGTGACAATTGACGACGGCCCTTTCCATATACATGTATATGTTATTTATTTGTGTAACCATTCGATACAAATTGGAAAGAGTAAGTAGCGTGTGAATTATGGGTGATGTTACCGGTTGACAATAACATAATTGGTGGGCTTTCAAAGTCGGTACTTGAAACTACGGAAAAAGATCATTGAAATATGTCAAACAATTATGATTATCTATATACATTTTGTCATAAACGTACAAGTTAATTTCATAATTCACAAGTTAGTTTCATAATAAAGTTTCTGAAGTGTTGAAAAAAGGTTCATTGTTAAGTATGATATTTTAATAATGTTATGTTATTCAATAATTGTCGCATGGCGCGGTGATTTGTTGTCTTTGTTGGTTCCTCAGCAGTCATACTCCAGTTACATGCTTTATTGACAAAAGCGCACAGTGAGATATCTAAGATAACGCACACTTCTTTAGAAAAAGTGTGCGCTTTTTCAAATAAAGCACAGTAATGCAAGTACCCTTGAATCACGTAGACAATTAAAATAATAATAATAATAATAAAAACATACAAAAAAAAACAACAAAAAAAAACAACAACAAAAAAACAAAAAAAAAAACCCAAAAAGAAAGGGACTTACGGCCTCGATCATTTTCTATAGAGTAAAACCTTTGTTGTAGCACAAGACCATGATATATCAATATAAATTTCACTCTAAGATTGCTGTCGGCAGCAGAGTCTACTGATGTGACCGGTGCAGACCATGATCTGTCGGCATATCCGTGCAATCTAATCATTGCACTGTTAAAACTTAGTCAGTACATTTTCTTTTTAATTTACCTTAAATATGATGAATGGTTTTGTCCAGATTGAAAGATGGACGTGTCCATTTATGATATTTAGGTCGGTAAGGGTTAATAAGAGCTACATTGTGAAACAATATTAATCATGTTCGAGCCCTGTTATGGTATAAATCAGTACAGGACGGGTGCCAAGTGAGCATAAAATGGTTTTGACCAAGTTCGTGTTAGTGACCGGATTCGAACCAACTTTAATTGGGTCGAGAGAGGCAAATATGTTAACCATTAGGCCATCGCTCGCTTAACCATATGAAATTGCGGTTGAATATTTTGTTAACGAATTTTGTTAAAGTCTGATATATTATGATTTATGTGAGACGCTTAATGATCATGAACAAGATGAGTTTTACAGTTTTTGAATACAGTATGTATTTCGACTAGGACTGATATAAATTATGGTTTGCCGTATCTGAACTTTACCATATATGTGTATTGTATATTTTATCTTTACGACAAGCTCATATTTCACTGTATCCTGTGTACTCAGGCATGTCACAAAACATTCCATTGTATATTGCTGGTATGGTACGTGTGTAGGCTACTATTTCTTGATTCGTACAACTTAATACTTGTACTTAATTTACAGGATAGAACATGTTCATAGTTACATTTAGTATTGTGCGTAATTTTTCCTTATTTTTTCTTTGTTTGTTTCCCCCAGGAGGTGGGTGGGTGCTCTGTTCTTATTTCTGACACTAGCTGAAACTTGTTAAGTTAAGAATTATGACTTTCAGATATTCATTTTTTTGAATAAATATAAATTATATGTATATAAATCGTTGAAATAATGACACCTGATTCACAGCATAAAATAAGATGATAAATAATTGATATCTTACTACCATTACATATAATAATTCACGATATCATACTATAATTACACATAATTAACGATATCTTTTTAACAGTGCAAAAAATAATCGATATTTTTATCTTACATTTATTTCACAGAATTAATAAAAAATAATGATGTTAATATCTTACTATCAATAAATAATTCCTCGCAGCTGTGATTACTGAAGTCCAGGGTAAAAGTACATTTATATATAGCTCCGGGTCTATCTGCATCAGGAAGAAAGTGACTGTTGTCCTTAGGAGCACCAAGCAAAATCCTGTAAATATGATAAAAATAGATAGTATAATTGCTTTGGTGATTACTAAAATATAGATTGTATAAGATTAAAACGGCATCCATAGAAAATGATTCTTTATTTTCCTTGGAAGAGAGAGAAGAGGCGATGAGGCGGGTGTGTAGTACCCCAACAAATTGTGCACTAGAGAGTTTTATTATATAAACAATAGTAGCCCTTAAACCGACATCTTTGTTAATATCAGTTTGAAAAATCGTCGATCTTGCAGTCAAAATATTGACACTTCGGGGGACGGGGTTGATAATGTTGCAGGTTTAAATCCACACCCTTGTGTGCTCGAATCTCATGAAAGACCTTGAACTCTCTCTTGTGATGAAGCTATTAATCTAGTTGATGGCAGACCATTTATCAACTTGAATACCCTCTTGTCCTTGAAACAATGCAATACGGAAGATAACTGGAAGTCACCCTTTGTCAGTAAAGCAAAATATAACACCATATTGCATCTAAGTTTCGGTGTGGCTTGGGCACAAACCGACGAATTCCCTAGCTCTACGATGCTGTGCTAGCCTGATAGGTACAATGCCATGTCAATGTGTCTATTGCCGGAAAGTTTAGCTTTGAATTTTGAGTAGTCCACTGTAAAAAAGGATTTTAATTTGACAATTTTTTAATATGAAAATGTAAAGAATAATATCAGAAGAGGGTATTACAGAAGCTGGTTATACTGATCAAATGTATAATGAAATATGAATTTTTTAATTGTGGGAAATGTTAATACGTATTTGGACAATGTGCTCAAGCACTACTAAAAACGAGTACATGTATGCATATGCAGTCACCTATATACCTTTAACATTGACGAAGAAGAAACCGCAACTTTTAGGCCCTTTTCGTCAATCTTTGAATAATTTTGAAAATCGTCGATGTGTTCCAACTGACAAATAAGAACTAAATTCCACCATACTTTAACACTTTCTCAGAATATGTATTTTAGACATACATTATGATAACAAAATCATTAATGCTCTTGAGTAATTTGATAAAAGAAAACGCTAGGAATTATTGAAATTCTTTTGTATCTCAATCTATCCTATACATATACTTTTGTAAACTGTTTATCTTGAATTATGTTGTTTTAACGAAAATAATCGATTTTTATGGCGAAAAGGGTAAATTTTGTTTTACTGATATTTGCTAATTAATACAAGTATTTTCAAATTATAGACCTGTTTCAGAATTCAAAAAGTATTGTAAACAATAAACAAGTACATGAATGCCCCTCGATCAATTAGCACATAAAGTTGCGCAAAAGATTTTAAGTGAACTACTTTTATGTAGGTTGGCTATTCCTTTTATATAAATTATATTGTCAAATTATTGAAATTTATTTATTTTAGAATTTAATATCTTATAACGAAACGTACTGTAACAGTATAATTATCAGACACTAAACATGTAAATAAATCATCATCTCCATTAACCCTTTCTCAAAATTCCTACATACACAAAAGGTTTATCTGAGGAAAAATTATGCAATACATCTCTATCAAGTGGATGTCTAAGGAAACAATTCATATTACTGGAGATCAAATGAAATGCTATCTTAGAAGTTTATAGTAACAAGATTTTGTTGAGGATTTATTCTAAGAATGTAATCAAGTGCATATAATTGTAAAAGCACTAAGTACATGTACAAAACGACCAATAAATACACCGACGAAGCATCGTATGAATAATACTTACACAAAACAACCGTATTTTTTAGATTTTTTTGAAATTGTTACTGTCTTTTTATAAAATAAATGACAAAAATGATTAAAACACAGACGGCAGTGGATTCGATTGCAACGCCTTGGGGTGGGCTATCATTAATGTTTATTTTGAAGGTATAACTTGACATAACGTAGTTTTCAATTGAGTACAACAGTGTCTATACTTTGACATGTGAGAAACATGTTTATTTGGTGTGTAAAACAATAAAGATATATATACAAATAGATGTCCGAGTTCCGCTTCCATTTTCCCTCCATTGAAAATTCCTTTGGCAGGTATTATAAAAGAATAGTCCAAGTTCAACTTGAGACTTTAAATGACGTAAGTTCCAGGTTCAATAGTTCCGGGTTCAACAATGTTTTTGTCATACACACATATAATAGAGATACTCGTAAAGATTAACAGATTATGCTTCTTGGATACGAAGAACAATCTCAGTTTTTAAGGTGATTCCGCTTTGCCAGCCATGCTTGTTTTCACAAAGTCTGTCCAAAGTGAAAGTAGGCCAAAATTCATATAACAACAAAGCTTTAATTGTAAAGTGATGAACCATTTGAAAGTACACTTCAGGTTTATATTTTAAGGAAAATTATATACAAAAATAAAATGATAACAATAAGAATATGAACCTTGAATGTGCTACATTTTTGAAGACCAAAACTTTTCTGTTGCAAAGTTTTATGCAAATTTGAGATATAAACTTGAAACTTTATATTTAACATGTTTGATAGAGGTGAAAAGCAGAGAATAAGGACCAGAAGTGTTCACTCAATATTTCTTTGTTGTTTTTTTTCTTTTTTATGGGAGTCTAATTATTGTCATGATTTATTAAAACTTAAAACGTTTTATCAATTATCACGAGTATCATAACTTGGAGTTTTACATGTATGTAAGGGTTACTTCCCCTTTGAAATGCCCTTCTTTTCGGCGGGGGATTTTACTGTCTGTGACTGCTTCTTGTATAATTGTTATTATTTTAATGTCATTTAATTACAAAGATATGGCAAAGACTGTGATAAAGAAATAACTCTGATCTTTGTTTTCTTATGTATTCATTATATTTGTTTCTAGGTAATAAATACGAACATATGATAATTTTCAGACTTAAAATTGTCAAAGTTGTCAATAATTGTGAAAGATGCTTTATGTGCCATGTTATGGACGAACATTTGCTTTTTAATTAGTCCATGATAAAAATGATTTTTATGTCATGTTGTTCTTTAATAAACTATTCAAATCAACCGATATATATTAACTTCTTTATTTCCATACACCTATCATTATGATGTGTTTAAATCTCAAATCACAGGTTTAACAATCACCCAAGTCATTGCATTTTAAATTATTAACAATATATTAAAGTAAGCAATTATTGAGTAAATGCAGACCTTCAATGTTGTCCATGCAGTAATTTTATGTAAATACGTACAAATTAAATTTCACAAGAAGGTTACATCTGCTTAATCAAAATCTTTCTAATGAGCTATATATCTAACTTTTAGCTATTTTGGTGCTACTGAAGAGCATTATATGTAAAATATCAAAACTTAGTAGCACGAAGACTGTACTTATGTCTAGAGAACAAACTGTAGAACAGCCCATACATCAAGTTATAATTTCGCCAGATAACAAAATTGTTGACGCAAATTATGCGAAGATGAAAGCATATGCAATACTACTACAATGTATGTAGGATGAGTGCCTTCAAGTGTTTTCTGGTTTAAAAACTAAACCATGTTTATATATGATCTCACACGAGGTGATATATTAGGAAATATTTCATTTACATTAGAAATCCTTCTAAAACCCACCCTGGAATTAAGGCCAACCCGCTCATATTTATGTACTATTCATGATTATCGCATAAATGTCTTTTCAATTAATCACTCAGGCATACCAGCTTTCCTGTTTACAGGTATTAAAGCAAATAAAACTGTATTTTTTCTACAATAAAATTGACATCTTTGACTTCAATGAACAATACTGGACGATTGCAATAAAGGATTTACTGCTGTCCAACAGAATCCTAAACCAGTATAGTACTAAATAATGTGTAATGACTTCTTTATAAAATACCATCATTTTTTTAACATCTCAACAAAACTATATTCTAAAGATCCAAAATGTCCATTTAAAGTCTTACAATCCTAGCATTGTTGTTGGCAATTATTTTTGAATCATCCCTCCTGATTCGACACAAACAAAAGCCAAGTGCATCATTTCGTAAAGTGCTCAGTTAAAATTTTGCCATGGCGGCTTGTTCCTGCCCGACGACGTCTTTCTTCAGAATCAAAGAAATGATCTCTGTCAAAAAAAAAAAAAGGAAAACGTTGTCGCCACCACATATAAGTCATTGACAAATGGTGTTAAAAATTGTGAAAATAATCCATAAAAGCTAAACACGGCAATGTGCTTTCAAAATCTGTATATATATATTTGGATCGGAGTAGGAGCATCTCTAAAATCAAGTCCGAGTTGGAAATCTTCCTTTTTAATAAAAAATAAGAAATAACTGACCTTTAAATACAAATATTTGAAAGAAATCTACATAAATGTGTAAACATGACTCGGTTTATGTTCCGGTACGTTAAAATTTTTTTCAAGAAGGTTTTTAACCTTAACCTTATTTCTTATTTGTTTAAGAAAAAGTCCCGCATTCAGAAAATAACACTTATCCCGTTTTCAGGCCTACACCAGGGAATAAATCTATACACTTTCTTTTTTTACAATTATCACATGTACTTTAGACATTCTTTGGTATTTTGATACTCATACTATTCCTTGTAACAAAGTTGTATTATACCTTCGAATCGACGGATTTTTCTGCAGAAAGTGGTCCAAGTTAGAGCATTAAACAGGACTAGATGTATGCTACCATTTATTACGTTACACAGATATTTTAGCAATCAGTAAACATTAACTAAGATTCTAACACGATCTGCATGTTTTTCCTTTTCGAAAGTGTGTGTTATTATGCAACAAAATCCTTGTTGACGTTCTATTTTCTACGGAATGCCGTTAGGGCCATCGCCTATGAATGTATTGATCTAAAACGCGATAGTCGATAGTACGATGGTGAAAACGCGAAATCACGAAACTACGATGGTGAAAACGCGAAAGCACGATGATGAAAACGCGATAGTACGATAATGAAATCGCGACAATACGATACTACGATGATGAAAACGCGATAAACTATCGTGTTTTCACCATCGTACTGTCGCGTTTTCACCATCGTAGTTTCG